TTAATGAAACAATTTTCTCAACTTTTATTGTGTGTTTGTTGTGATGCTCCCAGGCCTAAATGGGACAAAGTCAGAATTTAATAGAAAAAGAATGTTAAGGTTTGCTCATGCGCTCGGCTCATTGGCTCTTTGATCTCTGCAGGAACACTGTCAATGGCAAATTCAGGGCCGAACACCAACGGCTCGCAGTTCTTCATCAGTACGACTAAAACAGAATGGTAACGACTCACCTGCCCCATCACAGTCTCATCAACCACCTAACACATGCTCAGATCATTAACCCCCACTGCCAACAGGCACAGGCTTGCGTTTTGCCTGTGTCTGTCTGTTAGCAAAATATTCAATGAACCACTGGACAGATTTTAATGAAACTCTCACCAAGTAAATATTGGATGTACATCTATAATCAATCAACATTTACATGGCCACCACAATCAACTGATCTTATAAAACACAAAAATGGTTCTATTTCAGTCAGTTTTATTGATATTATGCTAATATTTGGTATGGAAATAGCTGATGGTCATTCACAACAGCTATACTACAGATGGTACAATATGTTCAGATAAAAATGAGCATTAAATGTTGGAGTCAACACTTTTTACCTGTTAACGAGCTGTACCATGAACCACTGGACAGAATTTTATAAAACCTTCCCAAAGCAATCATTAGATGCACATCTACGCTGATGCTTGACAATTTGTGTAGCCTTTGGAATTTTTTATATTTCTGCATAAATATGACCTAAAACATCATCAGGTTTTCACACAAGTCCTAAAAGTACAAAAAAAGAACCCAGTTAAACTAATGAGACAAAAATATTATACTTGGTCATTTATTTATTGAGGCAAATGATCCAATATTACATATTTGAGTTGCAAAAATATGTGAACCTTTGCTTTCAGTATCTGGTGTGAGTATCTTGATAAGATAGAAAAGTGCTATATAAGTGCAGTTCATTTACCATTTGTTGTCATTCACATCACATGTGATACATGAGGTGGAACAAAATTGTGTACCCAGGGTCCGATTTACACCCCCGAAAAAAAGTGTAAAAAGAAACAGAATATAAGTATTTAAGATATGCACTAAGATATACGGTAAACGAACGATAAACCGTACGCTAAAAGATCAAAGATATATGCTAAGAGAACTAATAATTTAAAACAATATGTTGTATTAAGCCCAGACATGAGTCTGTGGTGAACAGATGGGCATGAATGGATGCAGCAACATGAGATCAGCAGCACACAGTCACATATCATCAATTAAAGTGACATTACAGGGATTTTTTTTCCTTGCAGTGTTTATCTTGATTAGGGATTTATGAGTCTAACATCTTCAGGGTAGAAGCTGTTCAAGAAGCTTGTTTTTTTTTTTTTTTAAATCACTGTAATGCCACTCGACTGTTAGTATGTGCTGCTGACTATCCATGCTGCTGATCTCATGCTGCTGATTTATTTCATGCTGCTGTATTCATTCGTACTCATCTGCTCACACAGACTCTTGTTTGTGCTGCTGTTGTTCAGTGTATTACTGTTTTTGCACTATTAAGTGTTTAGCGTATTAATTTATATCTTAGATCTTATTACTGTTTTTTTGTTTTGTTTTTTTACAATTTATACTGTTGTTGGGTGTAACTGGGACCTTGTGTACACAATTTCGTTTCACCACATGTACCGCATACGATGTGGTACATGTGGTATGAACCTTGACCATGACCTTGATTCCTCAGTCTAGTGGTTCTATGCTTAATGCTCCGCAAGCTTCTTCCTGAGGGGAGCGGGGTACAAAGTGTGTGTGCTGGGTGAGTGAGGTCCTTCATGATGCAGGTGGCCCTCTTCCTGCAGATGTCTGTGATGGTGGGGAGGCTGACTCCAAAACTCTTCTGTACAGCCTCCACCACTCTCTGCAGAGCTTCCAGGTCCTTCAGCTCGCTTCAGGTCCGTCCACAACATTTGGATTGGATTAAGATCAGGACTTTGACTTGGCCATTCCAAAACATGAACTTTATTCTTCTTGAACCATTCTTTGGTAAAAACCACTTGTGTGCTTAGGGTCATTGTGTCGCTGCATGACCCACCTTCTCTTGAGATTCACTTCATGGACAGATGTTTTGACATTTTCCTTTAGAATTCTCTGATGTAATTCAGAATTCATCGTTCCATCAATGATGGCAAGTAGTCCTGGCCCAGATGCAGCAAAACAGGCCCAAACCATGATACAACCATTACCGTGTTTCACAGATGGGATAAGGTTCTTATGCAGGAATGCAGAGTTTTCCTTTCGTCAAACAGAAGACTTTTCATTTAAACCAAAAAGATCTATTTTGGGCTCATCCGTCCACAAAACATTCGTCCAACAGTCTTCTTGTCCACGTGATCTTTAGCAAACTGCAGACGAGCAGCAATGTTCTTCTTGGAGAGCAGTGTCCTCCTTCAACCCTGCCATGCACACCATTGCTGTTCAGTGTTCTCCTGATGGTGGACTCATCAACATCAGTCAATGTAAGAGAGGCCTACAGTTGTTAGAAGTTATCTTGGGGGTCCTTTGTGATCCCGCTGACTATTCCACACCTTGCTCTTGCAGTGATCTTTGTTGGTCCATCATCCATCCATCCTGCAGCTTAACAATGGTCTTGAATTTCCTCCATTTGTACACAATCTGTCTGACTGTGTACTGGTAGAGTCCAAACTCTTTACAGATGGTTTTCAACCTTTTCCAGCCTGATAAGCATCAACAACTCTTTTTCTGAGCTCCTCAGAAATCTCCTTTGTTCCTGCCATGATCCACTTCCACAAACATGTTGTGAAGAGCAGACTTTGATAGATCGTGTTCTTTAAATCAAACAGGGTGTCCACTCACACATCATCATCATCCCATTGATTGAAAACACCTGACTCTAATTTCACCTAATTTCAAATCATCTGCTAATCCTAGAGGTTTAGACATTTGCCACTCACAAATAAATAATATTGGGTCATTTCCCCCAAATAAATAAGTGACCAAGTATAATAGTTTTGTCTAATTTGTTTAACTGGGTTCTCTTTTATCTACTTTTAGGACTTGTGTGAAAATCTGATGATGTTTTAGGTCATATTTATGCACAAATATAGAAAACTCTAAAGGCTTCCCAAACTTTCAAGCACCACTGTGCATTTTGATTAACTTTTGGAGTCAGTCCAATTCAAGATGGCCACTACAGTTAATCAACTTTAACCAACACAGAATTGGCTATAACTCAGTCAGTTAGGCATAGTTATTGCACTTTTTATACTTAAACACATCACTACTTTTACTTTTTCTACTAGTACATATGTTTTTCAGTTTACTGTGGCAATTCAGACTTGTCTTCTTTAGGCAATTGAAAAAAAGTACTGAATAAAAACGGGTTTTTTCATATTAAAGTTGAATTTTATGCATTATGTCATTGTTTTAAGCTCCGACTGCCAAATAATTAAGCATTTGAAGCTTTTTACAAGCGCCAATCTAAAGACAGGACTGCTCTCTTGTGCCACCACCAACCCTGCTGTTTTTTTTTTTTAAAAGCTTCCTGGAAAAGATCCAGCAGCTTTTTTTAGACCTACGCTCTGGTGCAAAGGACTTCCTGTTCATCAGAGCAGGATGTCACATCCACCTATTTGAACGCAGCTAACAGATGATGTACATGTGGCCTTTAGGTTCCGTCAGCGCAGATGATTTAAACTCTGGAAAAACACCACAGGAACCTGAAAATGTCTTTAGTTTTGCACGTAGGCCTTTCTTCCTTTATTCTAGTTCTTTCCTGGAAATGCAGAGCATCTTGAAGGGAGGGAGCAGGAGGCCGGGGGCACATCAGAAAGCCGAGGAGTGGGTGGTGCTGCTTATCATTCTAATACTTTATGAAAGTAAATAACGGAGCGATGTGAAAAGGCAGCTCTGGCCCCTAAATGAAAGCATATGCGTCATGACCTTCCATCGTTTGTTTGAATTCTCAGATTACATCGTTGCCATAACGACTTTTTTTCAGCTCGCACGCCGGTTGAGCTGGAGATGTTGTAACAAACTTGATGTAATTTGGGTCTCCACCCTCTCGTTTGGTTTTAGTTATTGAAGTTGGGATCCATGTCCAACGCTGTAGCGTGGAAACTTGGCTCAAAAGGACAATGGTGCTGCGGCCAGTGTTACACACGCAAAAACAATGACATTTTTACAGCTGGGCACAGGCCGGGTTTCTTCTAAATGTCTTCGTTTTATCATCCGACGGTCATGTCAGCTGGTGTTCTTTTCTCTGTTTTGGTGTTTCTGTCCACAGTTGGACTGAAAAGTGTTGAAATCAAGGTTTGGCAGCTTTATGTGTTTGTTATCTTTCAGCGCTTTCAGGGAATATGAAGAGGTTTCCAAGGCTCTCCCTCCCTTCTGTGTTACACAACCTTCATGGATAACCCATTAAAGGACTTTTCATCGTAATCTAAGCAGTTTTTCTGAGACTTCACAAAAGACACCAAAGATAAACTCTTGGGAAACAAAAACGACCACAGGCGAGAGACCTCAAGAAACACTGAGCAGTTTTTGGCTGAAATCAGACGTGAGAGAGAACACGTCCCAAACGAATCAAAACAAATGAAGCAACACATTCTGGGCAGTGATAATTCAATTGGACTTTTTATTCACCAAACTCTCAACAGCACTAAAACACTAAAATGCTTTCCCATCTAACAAATAAGGCACATTTTGGAATGCCATTTCATGGACATGAAAAACAGACATGTGGTGAACTCTCCAAACTCCTCTTTGTTTCCCAAAATCCTTTGCCTCATGTCTGTGATCTGTCCAATTCAAACTTTTACATTATTGCAATAATGCATGACAAACATCTCAAGAGATACACACAGTAATGGAAATAAAAAATGCAACTTTCCAACTTGACCACATAAGTGTTAACACATTTCAGCCGTGTAAATATAATAATTACTCATCGAGGCTACACTCGTGGTAAATAAAACACTTTTAGGACTAATACTCAGAAGTTGCTAATGATGTTAAACACAATATGTACTGTATCCAACTTAAAGATTTAAATAAGTATACATTGCACAAAAAATATACCATTCAGATTCAAACACATGCACATGCAAACTCTAAAACGGTTTCTTGTCACGCACTTTCCTGACACAAGTACAGTTTCTAATCTACTTATAACATTTTATAATAGTTCCTTGTCATGGCTGCTTTAAGCAAACTACATCTCACAGTTTAATGTGCAGTGGTGAGGATCCATCACGAGTTAAAAAACAAACAATTTCTGCATGTTAACACAATATATTTTCTTAACCGTTTACAAAACGAATACGTGCGGCTGTATGGATGTAATAGGCAGCAAATAATTAGTCACATAACTGGAAAAATGACACAAAACACGGGTTATTTAACACTGATAACATCCAAACAAAATAAGTAAAATACAATAAATGAGAAGGTGTTCATTATGTACCAGCTTTTTTAATAATACTCTATGTAGACATCAATATTTCCTTCCTTAGTGTAACTTTGTTGCATATTCTATACAAAAAGTGTTGTAAAAAGTCTTTCCATAAATATTTCTGCAGGATAACCCTTCAGAAAATTGTAAAACAAAGACAAAACAACTCCCAGCTTTGATTATTTCTCAGCAACAGGCCCTTCTTCATAGACAAATAAAACAGCTTTAATATTGCTAACACGTCGCTGGAAGTTATGGCCATCAAATATATACATAAAACCACCTTTGACAGGGAAATAGCTGGAGTTTGCAGATTGCTTTAGAAGTTTCAACATCTATCATGCGTTCCAAAATACACATCTCATTCATAGAAAAAAGGTATTGAAAATGCAAACGTGTAATTCAAGCGATTACATGTAGAACTTTGTTTTACGTGTTTTATCAACCTTTTTTTGTGTAAGTGTTGAGGTGCCGTTTAAAACGGCGTCCATATTCTGTTTCTCTGGGTGGAATCAAGCTTTCTGACAGGATTTCATAACTGCGTTGCAAATGACAGCGTCACCTGTGAGGTTAATTCATATGACGTGCATTCCTCTCAAAAAGTTTACATGTATGATGAGTCTGACAAGGAGGCAATAACAGTAAAACGAACGGATTGTTCCCTACATACAAGTGCCACATTTGTTAAAGGCACTCCACAAAAGTTTCACAGGAAGCACTTTAAAAATGTTTCTTTTATTTATTTTGTTTATGGAAAGCTGCATGTTGCGCTTATGAGGAGTAAATGTCTTACCTGCAGTGGACAGTGACTCTCATGTGAGAATTTTTCCCTGATTCTCCAAACTATCCCTGCCTTCACCAAATGGAAGAAAAAGAATGGAACAAAACTTGATGATGCCAACATAGTGCCACATAAATTATCGCATTTGCAACCCTAACCCTAAGTGACTCTTTCCAAATAAAATACGTCCCCATCATGGATTGTATTGGTGAAAACCATTGTTTACATGTGTGTGTATGTCACCAAGTACATGTGTATTTCATCTTTTTGCTCAGATCACATTTATTGGTGGTCTGCCTGTAAACACACATGACCTCATTAGCTCTCCATAAACAGTGTGCCCTGGGTTACACTAATAAACCACCCAAATATGAACTTAACTGGCATCAGTGGCATAAGTTATCTCATAAGCTCCTCATTTCTAGCATCTGAGAGGAGGAAAGTGCCCTTTTATCTGTGGCTGGTTTAAATGTTGCAGGTAATCTTTGCAAACAGGAAGTATGTCAGTATTTACTTGCAATTAAGGCAGGGATGTGAGGTTATTTCATGTTTTATTGCCAGTTATTAACTGGTTTACTTCAAGCTGTCCATGCGTGATTGAATCACCCAAAAACACAAGTTAATGCCGGGGTTGACGTCATCTTTTAACAGGCAGGGTGGTTTATGAAAGCTGTCATTAAGGCACTATATAAAAAATGAATTTGCTGGAACCAGAGCTTGCTTCTAGAAACTCCAAGTTTGTAACGCATTTGATTCATGCCTCCTTAGCGTCGAGCCTCCTAACTTTGTGGAACTGTAGAAATAAATCACTGCAGTGCCCTTAAAACAGTTGGTTACATTTCAACATGCCGTAGTGTACCATTAGGCTCCTAATTCATCAAGTAACCATGTGTATTTTTGACAAAAACTTAGTTTTTTGGGAGAAAAAGTGTATCTACAATTGAAAACTAACAAAAAGTGAGGTTCAAAATCTCAGAATTAACTTCATTCTGATGTAAGAATCTAGTAAGAAATCACACCTTTGTTGGTATTTCTTGACAACAGTAGGATTGTTATTGCCAGCTGGAAAGTCTAGTTCAACCTTTAGCTCAGCAAACAGCATCAAAGCAAATTCAACACACCAGTTCAACCACTAATGGAGGAGCTAAACCATTTCCTTCTCGTTTGTCACATCTTGAGCCCTCTGTAAACTTTCTATGCGTCTCACTAACCACATGCACATACTCTGTCTGCTCCACCTCTGAGCCATTCAAAAGGTCAGAAACTTTACATTGACCTTTTAAGTTGTGATACTTGACATTTTTCAAGGCACATAAAGTATGTTACAGTATAAAATATAATCAACCTGCTTGGTAAATGCTTTAAATACAGTACGTATGAGAGTTCACAATTCATATAAAACAGGATCTTTAAAGGCAAATTTCAATCATTCAAAAGAATAATAATTTCAGCTGTAGTGCTTAAGAAAATTTAAATGGTATACATACAAGCAGTGGGTCATCTTCCTTATTTCTTATTTTAAAGTTTATGGGTAGTAGGCACGATAGAAACTGACTGTAGGCAATTAACCATCACATTAAGTCTATCTACAAATCCTCAGAATCACCTTCACAACCAGACTTTCTATATAAAATACTGTCTTTCACTTAGCAGACCTGATTCCTCTGAGCTTAACCTTCACTAAACACTCCTTACGTTGCTGAGCTGCTGGGTGTTGACTGAAGGTATTATGTGGAAAACACTTCAGCAGCTCAACGAAGGCTGCCAGGAATCATTTGGCACTAAAATCCATCTTTTTACTGCTTTACAAACACGTTGAAACCTGACAGGGTTTAACATTAACAGTTTAACTTTTAATATCATGTTTAGCAATGATAACTGCAGAGCCCGCAAAGAGCCAAGTGAGGTGCAAAACCCTCGGAAGTAAAACTGATCCAAACTTTTCCAATTTAACTGTGAGAAACAAATGTCTGCTGTGATTTTGGTCAATTCGTATGAAGCTATTTTAGATGCATATTTCTATTTATAGGAAGATTTTACACCTTTATTTCAGCCAGTCTTTGTTTCTTTGTTTAGATTTACACTTTGCACTAAAGAACAAATCAACACATCTGCTGCACATGGATATTAATACAATAAACGGCATTTTTACCACTAAAACTCCATGTAAGTTGTTTTTGTGTAATGCAATTTTTCCTAAATTGACCTTTGTTTTTAGCTCAGGCTACAGTAATAGAATTTAAGAAAATATTCATACTTGTAAAGCAATAATAAAGATGAATTTAGTGAAGTGGTTGCCATCAAAGTTTTGTTAATTTTTAACTGAGGAACTACTTTATGCAACTGAATCTACAGTAGTTTCTGAATACACAAGGAAGCAGTAACACAATGTGATATATAAACTTAGAAACAAAAAAAATCCCAGTTGAAATTAAAATTGCACACTAGACAAAGAGAAAATAAATATGCCAAATGTAAGCTAGGGATGTATGGCACTTTATCCCTCAGTTAATTCACAGTTAATAAAATGTGCTGCTAGACACCAAAGGCCTCCATTTATATCATATATTATCATTTAGGCAGTTGTCCTGACTAAACGTTGATCACGTCCCACACTTCACTTGGCAGGAAAATGGAAAGCAGATCTCTGTAAACACAAAGCCAACAAACCCCAAAGTGAGGTATTTTGACACTAAACTTATTGTCAGGGACATAAAAAGTACATACTCGGTGCTGATTCATCAGTATAATAATTTGCTCTTGTTAAACACACAGGTGGAGTCATTCATTTTCTAATATATGCAAATTTAGCTACATTTTTCCTTTGATGCAAAGCACGTAAAGTGAGTAATCCTGAATATATACGTTTCTCTAATTCCTGTTCAGAGACAGAAACATTGACAGAAAGATGTAAGGATCCACTGCTGTGGTGGAAAATGAAGGCACAGAAACTAAAGAGAGGATTAGAGTTACTGTCTCTCAAATACAAAGAGGACACGTAGAGGACGACCTGGTCAGGACAGGGCTGAGGAACCCCCAGATGTGACGTGGGCATCCACGATGCCAGGCAACATAACTTGGGACTCTAAAAGTTCTTCTCTCCCTCTGGATGGAGATGATTATTGCACACGGCGGCAGTAGTAGCCCAGGACTTTACATTTCTCACACAGGTGTTGAGGGTGCTCCTTACTCTGGTCAGACACATCCAGGCCGTCCGGCTTTTCTAAAGGTCGCTGCAGAAACAAACAGAGCAGAACAACAGTCGTTAAAACTTGAAGAAAACAAGCAGCAGACTACAAACCTCTGAATTTTGCAAGCATTTTCATTTGGCAGCCTACTGTACCCCTAACAAACCTGGCCTTCAATACTGCCCATTTTTCACGGTTCAGGCCGGCTCTAAACAATTAGCTGCAGAAATATGGCAGCGCACATAGAAAGTTGCAGTCGACTATAAACACTGTAGCAAAGAAAAAGATCTTTTGGCATTTGATTGTGATGACCTGTGTGGAAATATCAGAGGTGGGTTTCTTGGAATCATTATCAGGTACAAAGAGAACATTTCGAAGCCAGCACAGTTGGAGGTGATTTTTAACAGTCGATCTGGAATTTTTTTTACTTTTCATCTTTTTGTTAAAAAAGAAAGAAAAAAACTATTACGAATGGTTCAACTGCAGGAAATCGGGTTACCATGGGTCGTTACAAGGAGACATTTCAGGCGTCCACTAATGAGTCTGCCTGCAAATACTGAGACTTTACAATTACAGTGTCAAAGACATTAGGTCCTTAAGGAAAACTGGAAAATCTGATCTATATTTTATGGCATTCTTTCAATGGGTAGAAAGAATGGTGTTTAAAGGCCTTGTGGTGCAGGGCCCTCAAGTAGCCCAAGGGAAACGCTAGTCTGAAAACAGATCATCCCACAAAAAGTTAAAGGTGTATATTTTAATTGTCCTGACATCGTCCCCATTGAAGAGCGAAGAGGGGGAATTGTAAATACCCTCCATTCATACGTTTGTACATCCATATGACCGTCCATGCAAGTTGTGAGCATGATAACTTGAAAAATAAGTAAGGTACCAACCTCCATTTTGGTGTGTGGCTACATCTAGGCGTAAAAATGTTGTCTTTCAAAACCTGGGCTGCCACATCAAAATAATCAGATGGCTGCCACCATGTATGTATGTATGTAAACCTTGTGAGTTAGATAATTGAAAAATAAGCAGTGTGCCAACTTCCATTTTGGCATGTTGCTGTAGCTGTGCCACAGAAATTTTGGTTTCCAAGTCAAAATCCAAGATGGCCACCCACCACCACATGTATATATGTAAACCGGCTATCCCAGTAATTCCAGTTTTTAGTTTTCTACATTCGCCTTATAATCTAGCAGTTTTTGTTACTTTTTTTGCCATCTTATTTGTAAAAAAAAAAAAAAATCTGTATGCCTTTTTGTCTATTGTTGTCGTTGTTGTCATCATTCTTTATTGAAATCAGGTCTCTCATCCAAATGAGTCCTCGAGGCTCAATGGGATTAACCTGTCTAAATAAAGGTTGAATGAGTTTGAGGAAACTAGTTTTCACGTTGCTTAAAAGTGTTTCCTCAAACGATTAGGGTGGTCCTTGTGGTGGACGAAGATTAATCTATTTTGGCCACCATTGGCCACCCCCTGACTCAGCCATTGCACCTTGTGGCTAAAAACGCTTTTGCCACTCGCCAGGATCTGTCACTCTGCAGTGCCTCAGACAAGAAAAATAAATAAATAAAACAAACAAATTAAATTAAATAAAAATAAATAAAATAAAAATAATATATAAATAAAAATAAATAAATAAAATAAAATTATAAATAAAATAAATAAATTAAATTAAAAACTCCTACCCTCTTGAATAACTTGCACCAAAAACATTAAGGTTAACTTGTGTTCCCTTTTCAATTCCAGTCCTGTAAAACATCTTTAAAAATACAAATGTTTACTATTCAAATCCCTCAATAGGGACATCAGCGTACCACTATTAGATTTTTTTATATTTATTTTATTTGACTCAAATACACTTTATTTGTGTGATTCACAAAAAACAAAAAAGCTTTTTTATTCTGGCCTTGTCTCTCTCTATGCTATTTATATATTCGTTTTAAAGCCACCCTTCCTAAAAGCAAATATTTTTCATATTTAAAAGCTTTGTGAAGGCTCAAGGAGAAATGAGGAGATGAATCGAACACCAAGGTGTAATCCCACATCCTGGTGTGCCCATTATTTCCATCCCTACTCACTGGTTTGAAATGTTCCTGTATAAAAATTGGACACCCCTTTGCATTTGAATGCAGAGAGTTGTTGTTCTTGGTATTAATCTTGCAGTGTAGACAATTTACAAATTATTAAATAAATAGAAAAAAGACAAAAAATATGCATTCACTTGCATTCAGGATTAATTTGTTGGGCAAAGTCTCTTTCCTGATTCAGTTCATGCAAGTGTTAAGAGAGCAGGTCATATCTGGTATTCAGGGAACAAGATGGGCCTTAAGCAGAAGACCTCATTTTGATTCAGGAAGTGGACATGGAAGAATGTAGAAAGGCGCACATATTAAAAGATGAAGTGTTAGGGGTAAAACTCTGGTAGAAAAACAAAGGATTCTTTATCTGTGAAGCTCTGACAAACATTTTCAAACTAAGGCTGAACAGTTATTTACCATGTTAAATTTCACTTTATGAGTGTTGTTTAGACCAGCACACCATGGCAAATATGATTTCTTCTTGTCTTATTAAACAAGACGAGAAGTTCAGCAGCTGTACATGCTTCAGTTCCTGCAGCGTAACCGCATGTATCTGTGAACCATTAAAAAAAAGACTTTTTTGTTTTAAAGTTCATATGGTAAATAAGCCTCAACTTTTATGGATCAAGAAATGCTATTTGTTCCTTCAATGCTGGTTTATTGCCACATAATTGTAAGTAGAATGAATCATTTAATTTTAATGAGACCATCTGGAGTTAAGTCAAAACAAGATGCAAGAAACGGTCTAAATTCAGCGAACTTTCACTGAGATGAACCAAATTTTGTCAGTGTTAGAAATGATTTCAACGTCAAGCGAAAGTACCTGTTTATGTGGATACACGTTGATGTGGCATTTGATACATTCTTGTCCCATGTTTGCCCAGGAGTTTCCACTCATCCACTTCCTCTTACACTTGGGACACTTGTACTCTCCAAAGCATCGCTTTTTCCCCTGGTACGGTGTCAGTCCTTCACCTTTAGGTCTGGCCTACAAAAAAAAAATACATTTATTAAAGGTGAATACAATTACACACATTATGACATTTAGTTTGCGTAATCTGACAAACAATACTTAAAACAGGAGTGATGAAAGTTTTTAAGGCACACTCGTGCACTAGCTGGACAATAAAACAGAGAGACAACTGGGTGTTTCCACCCCTGTCATGCTGATGTATCCCGCTTCATCACACGGTACACTCCTGCACACTGTTTTTGGCTCAGTACGAGGTTGTGTAAATGACGTTTACTTCCAGTGCAGCTGTGTTAAATTACTCCTCTGATTCTCGTGAGGGAGATGATTACAAACAGTCAGCCGTGAAGCCTGAGGGCGATACTGTTCAGAGGTGCCGCCCCAATGACTTCATGATGGTAACTTTATTTGGGACTTTAACATATGGAAAGGAGACACCCCCCTCTCCAAAGGTTTGCCACAAACAAATGCACAGCTGATGTCATCAACAGGATAAATCACACAAATATCCCTCAGTCTGCCAACATGAATCCACAGTACTTTTTTTTTTTATCAGAGCATCAAGTTAAAAAAGAAAAGGCACCCCAGAACTTGTATTGACCATGTGACAGCTATCAGATGTTGTAAATGGAATAGGAAAAAAACTTTGAAAATGTTTTTGCACAGATGAAAAACAGATATGACAGAAATAAGTAATGCACAGCATGCATGCAACTCTCCCTAATGTAAAAAAAAAAAAAACTCTGGCTTTAAAGTGGCCACTCCTGACTCCATCTGCAAAATTGTTTTCATAAAAACGTCAACATTGGATGCAGGCTTGGGATCGAGTAGATATGGGGAAATGAGAGTGAAAGGAGGGGGTAGAGCCTATATCCCTGGTCTCCCCTTACTCTGTCCCAGCCTGGCTATGAGTAATAGAAACTTAAATCTGCAGCATGTGGTGCGTTCCAAACAGACGTCAGCACTTTGCATCAGCACCATTGAGCCCGGGTGAAGTACGTACGGCAGTGTTTCAATCCATTCCCTCAACAGAATGACATCAACCTTACTGTCAGCTTTGCATCTTCAAATGCAACAACATGCAGGCTGGAAACTCTGACTCCTGCTGAATTAAAACACACCAGACTACACACACTGACAATGTAGTCTGGATGCAATCATTTAAGAACCCTGAAGACAATGCCATGGCAATGCTTTGTTTGGAAACTCTCCGACAAATGATCTGCTTACTCTACAATCCAACTATAAACGGGCTGCCATTTTCACTTAGGAAAACACAAATAAAGCACTTTCTGCAAAATAACCTGGTAGAATTTTTTTTTGTTAAAACTTAAATGATTTTAACCTTAACTTACGGTGCTCATTTTGTTTTAGTCAAATTATTTCCCAATACAGCTGTTTGAATGAAACAAATCTCCCTGACACTGCAGCCAGGACTCAGCAGGATAGAAACAGCACTCCTCCATCCCATGACTGTTTCTCTTTTGCTTCACGCTGTTTTCAGTGTCCAGCCTTGGCCTTTTGGCTGAACATCCCACTCTGTCTTCGGCTGAGTGCTTTCAGATTAGCTGTGAAATCTAACCGGAGGGTGCATTGAATATATCTGGTAAAAAAAAGAGAGAGAAAGAAGATGCAACACTGACAGACTGGTTTAGTTAAACTGGTTTAGTTAAAAAAGTATTACCTTTATGATTGTCTATCTGTAAATGGAACAGAGTCTATGGGAGTTCAGGGGGGTGACTGTCTACAGACACACACAACCATCTAATTTCAGTCATGACCAGAAGTGTTGATCGAGTAACACTAACAGGCAAAGAGCCACAAACAGAGAGAAGCCTGTAATTAAAGACGACACAAACAACTTGATTCTTATTGCTACAACACAGACAGCAGCAGTGTGAACCCGATCACCTTAGCTCAGTGTTCAGATGGTCTTTTTGAATGAACTGTTTATCTGTTCTTCTGTTTATCTGCATTCAAACATACTGTTTTATAATCCAAGATCAGGCAGCACACATAAATGAAACTGTGTTATTATTACCGTAAAATATAATATGCAACCAGAAAACAATAAGGAAAATTCTTGCATTCATCAAACAACTATTCACAGTTTATAGTTCGCTCTAGAATATCAACTTTTAACACAGGAAAAAATTAATTAAAACATGCTGAGTGACAATGTTTTCCTGATGCAAAACGTAAGACTTTCTTACTTTTTTGGCCTTTTTTTGGGGGGCTAAATTTACAGCAAATTGTACAATAGTTAGTAAATATACCTCTGTGGCTTATACAGTATAAATATATCTGCTTCAAATTTTAACTCTGAAAAAATATATATATATACACACACACATA